AAGGGATATTTTTGGGGGAAAAAATTAGTAATTTTCCATGTTTGGATCCCATGAATAAAGGGTAAACTTAAGACAGTGGCCATAAATAGTACAATTACCAGTATTATTCTTTACGTAAAGATAGTAGCTGTTGTGTTTAGACGAGGCCACATTTGTTTATCAAAGTCCGTGATTCTAGTCTTGTTTGACAGTGTCCGGTGATGCCATGGCCTCTATACTTTATGCTTCGCCCAAGTCAAGTAACCCTTTGCCATATATAGATTGGGGAGAGGCAATGACTTGTTTAATATATTCCTAATGTGGAAAATTAAGTAGATATTGTTATAGTTTTCTCATTTATGTTTTTCCTGGAAATTATTGACAAAGAAATAGGTGTATGGAAACTAATTTTAGGATTAGAAAATAGTTTATGCATTGTAAATGTAGATAATTACTTATCAGTCTCCACATGTGCTATAATCTGTAGGCTTCTGCAAATTAATGTAGTTTTCCATTGCCTACAATGCTATGATCTTAAATTTTCTCCTAATTGGTGTGGTCCTTTTGTATACTTTAACCAATATTTGCCTTTATCTTCTTTCTCTAGTAGATATTGTATAACTTGATTTTTCTTTTTTTTTTTTTTACTCTCTTACAGGGTATGGCCGCATCATCCTGGCACTCCTGTCATTCTACTACATGCCGCACAACCATGTCATGGCTGCGGCAATGTACCTCTTGTCAGGATTTTTAGATGCCTTTGATGGACATGCGGCCAGGTTGCTCAACCAAGGTGAGGTGCTAACTATTTTTTTCAGAGTAAGGTTTGAATATTTCTGATTGTGCAGTTGCTGTTATTTTTTGGTGGTGGTGATAAACATTCAATTTGATTAATTACCATATTAGAAAATGTTATATAGTCATGCAGAAAATTGCCATATAGGTTTGTAATGCATTTTGTTTGTGGTTTTGCTCAAATAAATGTAATAATGATATTTCTGATTTTGTCAGTGTCAGGTGATATCCTGTATTCCTTCAGTTTTTAGTTAAGAAATTGCATTAGTTCAGCATTCAGTATGGACAGAGCTCAAATGAAGAATATACATATATCATATATACGCACATATACATATATTATATATATGCACATGTACATATACATACATACGTATATATTATATATATGCACATATACATATACGTACATACATATATCATATATATATACATACATGCATATATTATATATATGCATACATACATATATGTAATAATATGTAATAAAGTTTTTGTGTGTGTATTTTGGACAGTTGGACACTGTCCCTAATTTTCTGTCTTGAAAGTTAAGAAATAACAACCTTTGTTATTAACCCAGTGCTGGCGGGTATTACGTGTACGTACATGCTATGCCTGTTATGAGTACTTGTTTGTTTGTTTTAACACATACATAGCTACACTTGTACTAAGTCACCAATGAGCCAGTTACGAGTACTGCCTGTCTCGCCCGTTTACCCTTTTCTTTGATTTACGAAAGTATTATATGTTATCATATTTTGCTGTTACTAATGTTAAAAAACATAATAATTATAATGTTTAAATCAGGTGCGGTCACAAGGTCTACTAATTGACTCCTTTGTGGCTAAGCACTAGCAGAGTCATCTGTGAGCAGACATTTCACAAAAAATATAGAAAATGTGCACAGCATTTCCCCCCCTCTTTTTTTTTTTTCCCTGGCGGCATTGGGTTAAAAATTCAGTGTTTATCTGTACTTATTTTTATTTTCCGGTGAGAAATCAGGATAAGGTGTCTTATCACAACCCAAAGTAAATGATGAAATTCATTATATAATACAGGTAACAGGGGAGCTCTATCCAGAAAGAAAGAATGAATAATTTGCTAAAGTGATTACTTGGGGTCAACGTCCACTCTCTCATAAGGCTTCACGCTCTATCCTCTGCCTAGTGTGCTCTGGCTGTGAGATTTAGGCTGTGAGTGGAACGACTCAAGGAATCAAGGCCAAAGCTTTCCAAGAGAATCTTAATGAAAATGTTAATGGATTTACTTTTCGTTTCCTCAGAAAATGAATATGTATATGTGTATATATATATATATATATATATATATATATATATATATATATATATATATATATATATATATATATATATATATATAAACATTCATATACATACATACATACATACATACATACATACATACATACATACATACATACATACATATATACATATATACATATATATATATACATACATGCATATATACATACATGCATATATTCGTACATGCATATATACATGCATGCATGCATGCATGCATACATACATACATACATACATACATACATACATACATACATACATACATACATACATACATGCATACATGCATACATGCATACATGCATACATGCATACACACATACATGCATACATGCATACACGCATACACGCATACATGCATACATATATACTTTCATACATACATACATACATATATA